ATATAAATATACTTTAAATACAGTTATCATATAATATAATACTGTATTCCGCAGCAACGCGCGGAATACAGGCTTGTTAATATCTATATAATAGAATTAGAAAATGCTTCACTAAAGCACTTTCAACCAAAACTGTGGCGTTTTAGTTGAAAGTGCTTCTTACAACTCCCTTTTTTCTTTTTAAGTCCATTCTCTAAGTTGTTTTGTTTTTTTACCTTAAAGTTTATTTACTTTTTTTTATTTTAGTCCTTGTCAAAGTGCTCCCCCATCCTTTTTTTTTCTTTTTTCCAAGCTCCTCTTTTTTTTTTTTTTTACCCTAAAGTTTATTTATTTTTCATTTTAGTCCTTTTTACCCTTTCTTTTTTATTTCTATCTTGAAGCATTATTTTATTTTTTCTTTTGGTTGCTTTCCAATAATGCCCTAGAACTTATTTATTCCTTCATTTTAGTCCTTCTTATCTTTTTTGTCCTGAAATTTTATATTTCTTTCATTTTAGTTTATTTTGCCCTAAAACTTATTTATTTCCTCATTTTGGTCCTTTTTTTTACCCTTCTTTATATTTTTCCTCTAAAACTTTATTTCTTCGTTTTAGTTTCTTTTGCTTTGAAACTTATTTATAGATTCATTTTGGTCCCTTTTTGACCACTTTTAAATTTTTTCCCTGAAACTTTTTTTTAATGTTTTGGTTCATTTTATCCTATAACTTTTTTATTTTTTTTTATTTTACTCCTTTTTTATCTTTTTTTTACTAAACATAAAAAAAAATTCCCAAATTTAAGTTTCTTTTTAGGACTTTATATTCAAATGTTATATGCTTTTAATAATAATACAATAATTAAAACTTAATACACAAATTACTCTTGACGTGCATAGCACGTGATCTTAAACTCTTATATTAAGAAAAATTAAAATAACCAATTAGTATAAAAGGAAAGGTATCTGTGGGCAAAGTCAAGATATTGAATAAATATAGAAACAAATAGGGTGATGGAGGGAAATAGGCCAACATTTGGAAGGAATTAAAATTAATAGGCTAAAGTTTTAGAAAAGTTAATAAATAGGCCAATTTAAGGTAAATCTAGATTTATAAACAATAAATTTCTAAAAATACCCTTAAATGAGAATTCCACTCAAAATCCTAATACTTGTCTCTCTCTCTCTCCACTCTCTCTCTCACCGACCTCTCTCTTCACTCTCTCACTGAAACTATCAGCCTCTCTCTCTCTTCCCTCCGCCGCTCTCTCTCCCTCCCCCCTCTGCCACTCTCTCCCTCCCCCCTCTGCCACTCTCTCCCTCTTCTGCCGTGCTCTCTCTCTCCAAAGCATTGATCCGCACACCGTGGAGCATCTCTCCTTTGTTGGATGTGAACGTAGCCGTCAGAAGAGAGAAACAGGGAGGAGTGGAATCATAGAGAGAGAGAGAGAGAGAGAGAAAGAGAGAGAAGAAAGAGAGAAAGTGTAACGGGGGGGGGGGGGCGCGGAGATAAGAAGAAAATGAGAAAATAAAAAAGAAAAAATACAAATGAAAACTAAGGGTTAAACTGAAAAATACAAAATTTAAAACTAAAAATGGGCTATAAATTTCTAATCATTAATAAATGGCCTATTTACTTCCACAGTTTTTTAAGTTAGCCAATTTACTACAATTTCTCAAACTTTAACTCTAAAGCCCAACTCAATCTTAAAAAGGTTTAGAAATAGGAAAGGGCCCAAATAATAAAGAAGGTAACATCTAGGTAGACTTAGAGGACTCTACTAGGTAGTTAGTCCAAGTTCAACCTATAAGGTCCAATCCTATCCATAGGAATGTTTAAGGGTTATGTTAGTCATGTAGACCTAAAAAGTAACCTCATGGATAACTTAGAGCATGCCATCGGGAAATAAAGTTTTCTAAGTCTTTAGGAAATCAGTAAAGCTTAATTAGATAATTGATTAAGTAATTAAGTTAATTAATTAATTAATTAATGGTAGGAAGTAAGACTGAATCTATTTAGAAAATTAATGAAATTTAATTAAGTAAATAATGAAGTTAATTTATTAGTTAACTAATAGAAGTTTAATTAATGTGAAGCATCTAGAGAGTTAATTTACTAAATAAGTAGATTAATTAATTAATTGAGGATAAAAGACGGACAATTATTTAGTAAGAGGCAATTAAAACTAAGTCGGTTGATGAAACCTTAACGAGGGGTAACAAACTAACCAAATAAAATTATACTTTTGTGACACAAATAAAGAATATGATGTGGACATTATATTGCCGCTTGATAAAGTATATATAATGATTACTTTGTGACATAATTATAATCGCATGTTCACCTAAATAAGAGGCTATGGTAATAATGGAATGTTAAGTGTCGTACTGCCCTCCAATATGAATACACCAGGAACTGCTTTGGGCTCATGGGATTGGAGGTAATATTAAACTAAGACCCTGGGGTAGTTGGACTAAATGTTTGTGATGGTAATTTGGTAGGACCTCAAACTTAACCTTACTTTAGTTTGTCGTTATTGAATGTAGTGATGAGTAAGGATCGTTCCGCAAAAGAGTGGTCTTAATTAATTTTTTTATAAATCTTGCAATTAAATAAAAAGAGGGTTTTGGATTCTAAAGTAAGAACGAAAATTGAACAGGAAATCAAATAAACAATGCTTGAAAATAAATAAAGAACAATCAATAATAAAAGGCGGTTAAAGGATTAATCTCCACCTTTCGATAATGGAATTATGATGAACGAATGGTAAAATTCTCAATTTCCTATAGAAACCACCAACCGTAGATAACACTAGGCTCTGCTATCCCAAACTTTCTTAAATTTATCGTTAAATAAAACAAGCTCTTTATTTAATCCATTTCCCTCAAATAACCTAGAACAAGCTCTCTATATTCAATTCAACGGAAGCATTAAGTTAAGAAAGATAGATTATTCTAGGCAATAAACACACAAACTCGAAATATTCAACCTAGGTTATGTTCCTCATGCAATCACACAAATTCCTCCCACAATTATTGACCACACTTCGCAACTGATGATTAGAAACTCAAGACAATTACAGACAATTATGGATCAAGAATTCCTAATCTAGTAATAGATCATTTTCAAATCCTAATTGGTTACGCACCCAAGAAAAATAAGAAAATAATCATGAATAATTAAATTGGAAGAACATAAACTATTTCTATTGAGAAATTAGAAACAATATCAAATCATTCAAACATAAATTCTATGTCTAGGGTTTCAACATCACCCTTAACTAAGAAGAAATTTAGCCTAACATAATGATAAAATAACACGAAGAAAAATAAATTAAAAACATATGGAGTTCAAAGGAAAGAAGAAAAGAATAAAATAAACTCTGAAAATCTTAGAAGAAATCTTCATGCGAATAAATCCTCCTTGAATTTTTGACGAATTCGTTATTCTCCTCGTCCTTTTTCTCTCCAAAAGGTGGCTGGAAGAATATATGAGAATTAGGGTGTGTTTGGTAAATGGATTCATACCCTGATTCGAATCACGGTTCATGGTTCGCTACAGTGTTTTCTCTCACAAAAAATACATGTAAATCGAAAATGGTTCTAATCTTATAATTCTAATCCATGAACCAAACATCTCATAATCTCCAAGGGCCGGCCCCCCATCCAGATGTGTGGATGCCTTCTATTTATATGTTTCCCTCCTACACTTAATAATTCGCTTGACTTAAGGGTGGGTTTGGTAGAGATTAATAGAGCCTAGAATCAATTCTGCTACTAGGCATAGCTATTAAAAGTGTTTGGTAAAAACCTGAAAATCGGCTTTTGAAAGAATTTTTTAATAATTTGGTGCCAAAATCAGAAGCAGCCTTTGGACTGCTTCTACTTATGGATTGTGCGGCAATCTGCAGGTGGGTTAAATGAAACTTTCATTATTTCCCATATTACCCCTACTGAATGAGAAAAAATCACAGACCATTAGCCATCTTCTACTCTCTTCTCTCTCGAGCTCTCTCGTCCCCCTTATGGGCTGTTCTCTCTTCGTGCTCTCTCTCTCTCTCTCCCCCGTTTCTCTATTATCATCGTGCGATTGTGGGTCACCGGTTGGAGCTCATCAGATCAAGACTATCGCCTCTGTAAGTACTCGATTGATCTTCGTTTAAACTGATTTGGTTATGTTTTGACAGAAATTTTTTGACTGCCTTCGTTTCTCTCCATTTTGGTTATGTTTTCACCGAAAGTGTATTTTTTCTTTATTCGATCGTATCAACTTGTGTTACTGTAAGGGCATGTGGGTTAATGTTGCATTTTGTAGTCTGAAGGCTTAAGACCGGTGATGATTTTGCGCTCAAGGGCGGGTTTGTCGTTGAACATTATTGATACTCCTGGGCTCATAGAAGGGTGATATATCAATGATATCGCGCTTAATAATATTAAGAGGTTTGTTTGTTTGTTTTTTTTTGTTTTGTTTTTTTTTTTTCCTCATTAAATGAATTTGTGGTTTTAGAGTGAGTTATTCAAGATGTTCATTTGACTGTTTATATGGTTGGTGATCTTTACTTGAACAGCTTTCTTCTGAATAAGATAATAGACGTCCTACTCTATGTGGATCGGTTAGACGCATACAGAGTTGATAACCTGGACAAGGAGGTTGTGAGAGCCATTACCAACAGTTTTGGCAAACGAATCTGGAATCGAGCTTTAGAATATGTTTGGTTTTGTATATTCAGAACCATTCTCGTTTTACGTGTATTTTTTATGAGAGAAAATACTATAAAGAACCATGAATCATGATTCAGAATCAGGGACGAATATAGAAAACAAACGTTGTCTTAGTTATCCTTACATATTGAAGTTACCCTTTTTTTTTTAATAGTTCAACAATTATAACATAATATTGTGTTTTTGAGCTCTCAATCTAAGGGGTTTTGGTCAACGCCTTTTGTGAAGCTTTTGTTTATCCTTTTCAAAAATTGGCAAGATTGGCTTTTCTTTGGAAATAGGTTATTCTGAATGGAATTGCTTGGATTTCTTATTTAGTTGAAAAAATCACGGAAGTGGCGTTGAATGGAAGCAAGTCTATTTTTGTTGATACGAAGTTGATTGAAGGGCCAAACCCCAATGAGAGGGGTAAGACCTTCATTCCTTTGATTTTATTAATCCAAGTAAGCCCGTGGAATTTTTCTTTTCGCTTTTTCTTAGGGAAGAAAGATCTTAAATTTTGCTTCTCTTTCCATGCATGATTCAATGAATTGCTTTCAATTTGCCTTATTTTTTGTAGTTCTTCTTTGCCATTAAACCAATTGAGCGGGCAATCAAGACGGATATTGCAAGGGAGAGCAGACCTGCATGGGAGATGCGGGATGCAAGTTTGTTTAGCCGCAAGTTCTGATTTGGCTTAGTATTTAGTTGTATTATGGATGTATGCCTTGATGCAGTTTTTCCTCTGTTCATGTTTTATCTACCCGTTGCAAGTAGTTGTTCCAATATTCTGCAGTAGCGATAATCTGCGGCAGTGGATTGTTTTAGCGTTTGGAGAGAACTGGATTTGTTGTTTGGTTTATGTTCTTCTGTTGGATCATCGATTTTGCTATTAATATAGTAGGTATTTCTTTTGTTCAAGATTTGTTTGTTTGATTTTGCTTTGAGAGTAGGGTAGAGTATGACAAGTCAACATGTGTCAAGGGTGAGAGCTGATAGTGAAGCTTATTTTTTCTCGAAGGAGTTCTTGCTCAAATTTCAAATGCTATTTTGGAAAATAGCGTCCTCATATTTGTTAAGAGTAAACGACATCTTTTAGAACAGAGTAATTTTGCTGTTGAGATGAGGAGAGAATATTTTATCGCCAAATTGGATAAAATTGCTCGTCTGTTGGCTGTTGATAGTAAGTTACTTGAAAAGTAAATACATTCTTACAGATTAGGCTTAAGACTCAAATCTTTTTTGTGTAGTATTCCTACAAATTATAATTACTTCTGTGGCTACTTTTTTGTAGCATTATACAAATGTAGATTTTGAAGTAGTAAAAGATATAGGTCGGGTGATTGCAACCATATGGTATTTGGTTGTGTTAATAAGATTGACAATTTATCATTATGCTATTTTTAGCTGTAATTATATTGTGAATGAAGAAAAAAAAGAGAATTAATTATCATAAATTTATTGTTAAAAAATTTAAAATCATAGCACTATGTTTTTTTTTTAAAGTTAAACAAGTATTTCTAAATACTAAAATTTTTTTTATATATTTAAGTTTCATACTATGTCTATTTTGGTCATTTTACATACCCATAGTAATTCCACCTCAAAATTTACCAAACGCTATTACACTGATTTTGGAACCAGCATATCTACTATAATTACAGTTTACCAAACACTCAGCTGCTTCTTCCTTCAGCACAGCTAAAAATAATTTTTTTTTTAAATTCACAGCACTATCAAACTAAGCCTTGGTCGGCAAGTCACTCCTCCTCGTCAAGTGAATGGCTGACGTGGGCCTGATGGACTTGTTGGCTGCTTTGGCGCACAGCTTGTGGGCCTGCTGGGCTTGTTGGGTGCTTTGGCGCGTCAAATTTAATTTGTTTTTTCAATTCTTTTCTTTTCTTTTCTCTTTTTATTTTCTAAACATGCCCTCTATGTATTCTCTTCATTTTGGCATCCAAGTTGATTTCGAAATATCCCAAAAAATACGCCGAAAACAAAATAACAAAACAAAAACTCTAACCTTCCAACCTTTAGTCTCAAAGAACAATAAAAGATTATAGCTTCAAAATCAAATGAGCATTAAATCAAATCCATTAATCATTCAAAAGCTAACACATCATATAATAATTATACTCGTGTATGTATGTGAAATAACCAACATTACCAATAAGGAAACTACACGTGCTTTAGAAAAGTTAAACACTCATAGTCCTTATAGAAATGATCACCCAATCTCGGTTAAAAATATCAAACGTCATTAGCTCCCCCTTT